CTTGTCTAACAGGAGAACACTGCACATGGCAAGTCAGGGAGGAGAAATCAACAAGCCTTTCCTGCAGATAATGAGATGTAAATGCAGGACTGAATATTATTATGTAGTTGTCTCCCTGGGAGAACAATTTGATGGGTTATGCTAGCAAAAAGCCCCATGAGTGATGCTTCAGTGCCTGTCCTGGTCAGTGGTGGTTTCTGTTAGTAATTAAGAGCTGACTCATTGCTGCTTCTCTCAAGAGACAGATGTTTCTACAGCTAGTGGCAGAAAATTAGATGGTTTTCCAGTATACCTAAGAAAGCTGTCATTTGTCCTGTCTTTTGAATAGAGGCAGGGAAATTTCAGAGCATTTTAAGTGGTTTGGAAAAAAGGCTTATAGTGTTTTAACTTTCTTTTTTGGCATTATTTAAAAAAAAAATGGATGAGGGGTTATTTTTTTTGTTTCTGGTTTTCTATTGGGTTTTTTGAGTGTTAAGGGAAATTTCTGGAGTAATGTGTAGAGACTAGTCAATAAAAATCCCTTCTCTAAATATTAGTAATGACTGGCAAAGCTTTATTAGCTACAGCTGTGGATAAAAAAAATGTTAAACTGAAAAGCATCTATTGTAAATGACTAGGAAGAGGCTTTAGAAATCTGTGGGAAAATGGATAATCATACAAAAGATTTCCACTGTAAACCAATTATTTAAAATTATTTTAGAAAAAGTAAAAAGTTTTTCTTTTTTTTTAAAAAAAAAAAGTGGCCAGTGAATTTCCTGTAATATGTATTTTAATGGATTTATTATGAACAACCATGGCAAAAATAAAACATAACTGTATGATATGACCATGAAATGTAATGGTCCATTCAGAGGCCAAAATTTTGCATAAATTAGTCAAGAATATTAAAAAATATGATCATGCTGGAAAGGTGAGATGAGTGCTGAATTAAGCAGAAGAAAAAGTACAAAAAGAAGATTATGCAGAGATTTTATATTAATTGATCTTTTACAGCATTTTGAGTAAAATATAAAAGAAAGGATCTCTGAAGATTAATAGAAATGGGAATCAAATTTCTGACTGGAAAGATTTCAGAAATCATTTAGGGGGTGGTAAGGCTATATAATTCCAGGTCTGGAATCCTTTTCTCTCACTAACGGGATGAGCCTATTCAGGGTCCATCCTGAGGAATAGAGACTACTGTCCCCTGCAAGCTTGTACATTGTAATGAGTATCATTCCCATATGTTATTGCAATGGGCAACTGAATCAGTTCTCACTAGACCACAAGTGTGCTGGGTTACTGCCATGGTTTACTGATACATAATTGCATAGAAGGTAATGAGATCTAGAGGAATATTTTATTCTGCTTTGCTCATCTTGTAGAATTCAGAGAGGAAGGGTTTTTTTTTAAAGAAGTTCTGCTATGCCTAGGGCTCAGCAGATAATTTCAGTAGAATCCTTCTTAAGTTTGTAATGAACAAGTTTTGGTCCTTCTAATTGACACAGTAATAAAAGAAAACCTAAAAATAATGTGTACTTAATGCTGTCTTTCTGAATGTCTGCAGTAAAAAAAGCAATGGCATAGGGTGCCATTTGTATTGTTTACCCTCGATACAAAATTTTAAAATCATATTCGTTCAGCAGTGAGTGCTCATCCAAGTATGTAAACCTGATAAAGTGATCAAATGCATTTCTTCAACTATGCATATGTGGANCAGACACTTAAATCTCACAGGAAATATCTAAGTATTATGGAGGCAACACTGTGACTGGTTCTCATTCCCTCTGTTGTTTAAGGACTGATGCTGATTTCTCTCACGATGGCTACCCCAATTATCTGAGGACTTTAGAAGTCTTTCAGAAGTTTTGATTACAGCCAATGGCATCCTAAAGTAGGCCAGGGATAAAAGACTATCTCACAGTTCGTGAATAATTGAGTAGGCTTTTGTATAACAATGAGGTGCCTTATGAAAGGCAAATGTTTGTTTGCTGTTTGCTTGCATCTGCACCTATTTATTCATATTTATAGGTAAATTCATATGCTAATGCTTTTTCAAACACTGAAATACAAACTTTCTGTTGGTATAATGAAGTAAAAGGCTGCTGAAATGCAGTGGAACTCTATATGTTTAAACCAGCTTTAAAATTAGGTTAAAAATGTAAAATCCAGATTCAAGGATGTACCTTGGTGTATGCACATACTGTATCAGGAGTCTTCTTTAAGCCATTCCATTCTTCAGATTTCTTCTCTTCCTAAAGGTCTGGAAAAAACAGATGCCAATAAATTGAAACCATAACAGTTTAAAGGACAGACTCATGGAACTCTCAATTTAGTGTTCTTTAAAAGCAAAGACTGTTCATTCCTGCAGTCTATGTCCCAGTTCTGAAATTTGGGGAAAGGACTGGTAAGGAGCATCCTTAAAGATAACGAGCATCAAGCCCTAGAATTCCACAGAGACTTTGCAGCACCCATTAATGAGGTTCTTCCTCTAGAATTTCATCAGCTTAGCTGCAAACCCTCAAACTCACTTTCACGCTGTCCTGAATTGATTTCCACTGAAAAAAAGCCTGAAACTGTCATTCAGGATAACCTTCTCGTTTGTCACTGAAGGAAATGCTTTAGAGTATGCACTAGATGACCCTTTATCCAGAAAATGTTCTCATCCTCACAGAGAGAAATCTGACTCCTCAACTGTGATGTCTACTTTGCCTTTTTTTAGGGATATTTCTAGTGTACTGGATCTAACGTACTTTGCATTAAAACGAAATATGACTCTGCCGTATATGTGTATATATATTTTAAAAAACCAAAACCAACTCCTACCAACCTTACAAAAATTTCAGTTAATTAACATAAAATGTCTGTTACATTATCACCAGCTGTCCAAAATTCAGGTAATCTGTAAAATGAGGATTCCATGGCTGTGCTAAAACCCACCATCAGCGATGATCTGGCCTTGGGTTGTTCTGTATTTTCTAAAGAGAATTTTTTGAAGACTGTAAACAATTAAGGGCAGATAATGAAAATAAGAAAATCAAGAAAATGAAATGAAGAGAGTGGGTTTTACCTTGAAAAAGAACTTTCTCCTCAGAGTAAGACAGATGAACCGAAAATACACATAGACTAAAAAAAACATCCAGAAGATGTTTTTTTAATAAAACTCCTGGCTCTTTCCAGAAGAGCCAGGAGTGTTATTAAAAGTGACACTTTTATTAAATTAATAAATATGTCCGCTTTGGACAGTTGGTGCTGTTGCTTTTAGTAAGGTCTAGATAGTGCGAGTATTCTATACCTGTGTGTGCAGCTTTTCACCCTATAGCATTGTGTAGTTAATACTGTTTAATCAAGAAATAACTGTGGGACCACTGCTGTAGCTTTGGTGAAGTCAAGTTGTAACACTGCCTTGATGTTATTCAAAGAAAGTACTATCTAATAAAGATGGTTTGTGATGTCTCACAGTGTAATGTCATTTTTTTCAGGAAATATGATATTGTCTTTGCTTTTCCCCAGGTTAGGTGAAGTAATTTCTGAGACAGGAAGTACAATTGTACAGTTGACACTTTACAACCTTAGTTGAAAAAGCCTAGGAGTTGTATGCTTTGTAAGCTGTATGCTTGCAGAGGATTTAATTAAATGCTGTGCTTTCTTCCAAAAGTCTTCATAATTAAATGTATTGATACTGTAGTCCAATGGTATTTTTTTTAAAGAAAACACTTATTTTGACTGATAACATTCATCTGAGATAATGGCAACAGTGTAGTGTCAGTATTATTATATCATAACATGGTTAATTAAGCTTAATTATTTTAATGACACTATATTTTTGCTGCATATACTCAATTTAAACAGTATCACGTTGAGGGGAAAACTCTCTGCTCATACTTCCTTGATATTTTTAATTCTTTTTTTTTGGTAATGAGAGATGTGGTTGATTCAAATTAAATAGTACCGTTTTTCTTGTGCTGTGTCATTAAATTCTGTAGAATTTATACAAAAATAAGGCTTTTCACATATAGCCAGTGGAATCATTTTGTTCATGTTTTTTTTTCCCAATATATCCTTGAATTAATAACATAAAATTCTGTATGGTATTGTTTATAGAGCTGTACCAGTACTGAATAGGATAATGAAGTAAACTGCTGTCATAGATTATAAAACTAGATTAATATCTAATCTCTTACTTGCATAATATAGTCTAGAGGATTATCATTAATCAGCTTCTCTTTGAACTGCAAATGTATGATTATATGATAATTCAATTCTTATTTTAAAATTCTGGTTACAGCAATACAGTGAGAATGCTTGGTAGGTAGTCTATAATAAAGTACCCTTGTTGTTTAAAAATGCTTTTAAAGCAAAATCGAGTGCATTTCTCATTAAATTGAGAGGATAATACTATTTTGCCTTGTACTTTCTGAAGGATTTTATTTTTCACTACATGATCTCAATGTTTAATAATCCACATAGTTTTTCCTTAGAAAGTTTGTCATTGAACTGAGAGAACTAGATGTGTTGTCCAATAATGGTCACATTAGTGCTTGCTTCAACCTTGTGTTTTCTTTTCTGGGTACACAAGGCAATGCCGACTGCTGATTACTGTGTTCTGTTAAAAGCTGCAACAAGTGTTTCTCAATGGTATCACTACTGTCATAGAAATAGAGCACAGACAAATGTGAAAGACAGAAATGTGTGAAGTGATTTCTGAAAGTACTTTCTCTAAAGACAGTCTTACAATTCCTTTCATACTCGAAGTTCATGGATTTACTTACATCTCAGGAATTGTCAAATTTGGCATTCGTGAAAGAAATTGAAGCAAAAAGGTCTACAAATGACTGACAATCAAAAAGTATAAAAAGACAGATTGGGTATACTTGTATAGAAATTGTTGATGTTCTCAGAATTTTCCAGACTTTGTCATTTTAAAATATCTTCCTAAGTCAGTTATGTAACTGAATGCATTTATGTTACTGTCCACCTTTAAAGAAAAAACTAATAGAAACCATTAATTTTGTTTGCAGATTTTCAGGCGTTGTTGGTTGGTTTTCAAGAAGGCTTCCAGTAAAGGGCCCAGGAGATTAGAAAAATTTCCGGATGAGAAGGCAGCATATTTCAGGAACTTTCACAAGGTAAGTCGTGTCATGAACTGAAGCATTGCCTGTTTACCACTCATCTTTGGGAAGAGTGTGGTCTTGGTATGTCTACCTTGCAAACAATACAGTGAGTCTTGTTGAAAACCTAATCCTGACAATAAAAGCACGGTAAAATGTCTCTAAGTCTCAGTGATGCAGGTGAGATATCACACTGTTTTTTCCCAGATGAGCACAAAACCCTCAGTGTGTGTGAAGTGACAGAATAATGTGGGGTTTTTTATTTAAACATTAGCAGTTCGTGAATGTGTAAAATTGTGTGCCTATTCAAATGTTGAATAGATATTTATTAACTAAGTATTGAACAAATTCTGAAAATGCTAAATGCCTCAGTTGTAATGGTGACACTCATTGAATACATAAGGTTTTTCTGAGAACTCTTCGAGATTTACAGGGTCTGTCAACAACAAGAATTTTTAGCAGTAAGAAGATGGGATTCACTGAGTGAGATACTCCCTGCTTTCTCTGTCACCTGCACTTCTGTGATGGGAAACAAGATATTTGAGCATGGGTTCTTCTTTCTGTCTTGTAAAGTATGTTATCAGCCTCCCCCCCCAAAGTCTGTCAGTAGACTTCACGTTAGTTAATCCTAAAATAGGGCAGGGCTTGGTGCTTGTACTATCGTCTTCTATCAATTCATCTTTAGCTTATGTCATGTCAATGTTAGATATTACATTAAAACTGTCAAGTTGAAACACAAAGAAGACTCAACCAGGGGCCACACAGCAAACAGTGAAAAAGTGTGGATGTAAGCCCAGATCTCTTGAAGGCAAATCTGATGTTTTCATCATAAAACTACAAATTAGCCTTTAAGTTCTAGTAGCCATATGGTATCTCTAAATGAAAAATGTATATCTAATAAATTCCAGGAAATTATCCTGTGAATATTTGTAAGAAAAAGAGCCCTGGTAATTTCATTTTGACAAAAATCCAACTTCTTACATTCAGTTGCTATCTGGGTTTAAGACTGACAAGTACTAGACTATCGGCACTTTCACTAATGTACCACAATGTCAGTGTTTGTTCCCTGTTTGGAGGAGGGCAAAAGTGATTCTGCCCCTCAACATAAATTAAAAAAAAAAACAACAACAAACTTTTGCTTTCAAAATGTAACAATGATAGGTCTTTAAAAGGATTAATTGGATGATTTGAGTTTATAGCTATGGTGGATTCACCCTGGCTAGATGCCAGGTGACCATGAAAGCTGCTCTGTCACTCCTCTCCTTGGTTAGACAGGGGAGAGAAAATATAGTGAAAGGCTCATGGGTCAAAATAAGAACAGGGAGAGATCAGTCTCCAGTTACCATCACAGGCACACTCAACTCAGGGAAATAATTTAATTTATTACTAATCAAATCAGAGTAGGGTAAAGAGAAATAAAATCAAATCTTAAAAATACCTTTCCCCCACCCCTCCCTTCTTCCTGAGCTCAACTTGATGCATGGTTTTCTCTCCCTCCTCCCCACTCTAAGTAGCACAGGGGAATGGGGAATGGAAGCTGCCATCAGTCCATCACACATTGTCTCTACTGTTCCTTTCTCCTCAGGGAGAGGACTCTTCATACCCTTCCCCTGCTCCAGCATGGGGTCCCTCGCATGGGATACAGTCCTCCACAAACTACTCCAGAGTGAGTCCTTCCCACAGGCTGCAGTTCTGCATGAACTGCTGTGGCATGTGTCCCTCCCATGGGGTGCAGTCATTCAGGAACAGTCTGCTCCAGCGTGGGTACCCCATGGAATCACAAGTCCTGCCAACATCCGCAGCATAAGCTCCTCTCTCCATGGGCCCACAGGCCTGGAGCCTGCTCCAACGTGGGCTTCCAACGTGGCCACAGCTTTTGTAGAAGCCTTTGGGGGAAGTTATTTTTTCTTAGTTCTTTTTTGAGCATGTTATGCCTATAGCATACTTTATTTTAAAAGGGACTCAGACTTTCCATGTTGCTTGTCAACTGTTGTCATTTTAGAAAAATAATATGAAATACAAGAATCGTTTGAGAAGCTAAGGAAATAACCAGAGATACAGATGCAGATGAATGTTGTAGTATTGATGGAAGAACGGCCACCTGCAAAATGGAAAGCAGGGGTGTTACTCTTTTTCATCCCTTTTTTCCTTCTTATTCCGTTTCTTGAGCAAAATGAGTGGGATGAGAAAGAAATGAATACTCTTTCCTATTTAAAAGGATAATGGGCTTCTGGCTGTAGAGAAAGAGGAATTCTATATATTCGCTTGGATTGTACCCATTTTTCAAATAAAGCCATGAAATAATTTCTGAAGGTATATATTCAAAAATAGAAATCCTGAATCTTATTATTTGGCTTGATTTTTTTTTCAAGGATATTTTATTATTTTATAGCGATTATTCTCCTCAGTTGCCTCCACTCCAATAAATGAAATAGTGGTGAAATTGATGTGCATGACTTGTGAATAGTCGTCAAGTGTAACTATTGATGGAACAGTGTAGGTCGCTGTAGGATCAAGTATAATTATTCGATTCCTGGTATTGGATGAAAATGCTCTGATTCTCTTTCTTTTCTAGAGCTGTTTAGTGGTTTGTTATATTTTGAAGTTGTTCAAAATGCATATTTATTTCTAGCCAGTGCAAACTGTTAGCCCTGTTTTGAAATTCTCCATTTCTTTATTCACTCACAAAATATAAGGAAAGCATATAGTATACAAGTTTAAGATTAAATCTGAACTCTGAGAATCAATGGAGAATAATTATTAAATATTGAGGAAAGGAAAGCTGGTGTTTTAAGAGATATTAAAATATAAGTTGCAAGCCTGAATCCTTATGAAAGGACAACATGCTTAAAGGGGCAAGAGGCACTGCTCACACTCTAATATTCATATAAGACTATATATATCAAACCTGAGATCCTTTTTTCTTGTACAGTCTCTTTGTAACTAGTAGAAGAAAGTGGGTACTATGGCATGGGACTGTTATTGTCCACTGTGATTGTCTAGGAAGTTATGTCCTTCAGACTTTCAGATCAGTCTGGGTTACACTGGAGGAAGGTCTAGAAGTAGCACAGAGATTGTATTGTATTGTGCAATTTTTTTAGCTCTCATGCAGAATTATAGAAGAAAATGTTACATCTCAAGCGGAAACAACAAAAATTAGTATCTTTGATTTATCTGCTTTCAAATCAGTATCCAGGATCACAAGCAGTACCTCAATAAAAGATATCCATCAAGATCTCCACTATGTTTGAGCTTGAAATGAGGGTCAATGAAATTCCTCTTTAAAGTATTTTACCTAGATGATTATACATCTGCTATACTTAGGTAATAAACTTGTGTACTGGGCAATGTGAGTTACAGAAGGGGCTAAACAAAGGAAAAAACAGGAACTGGTAGCATAAAGCTAAGAGAATTAAAAATAAAGACTTTCTGGTATACATATGCTAAAGAAATATTCATTAATGAGTAAATAAGCTGGCATCTTTAGAAAGTAGACTCCCTCCCCCTCAGCCACTATCCAGTTTATATATGGGTTTATTTGTTATTCTACAATTTCTGTAAATTGCTGTTGTGCATTGCTTCCCTGTTGTTTTTTTAACTAGTAATTTTCTTATTATAAATAACAGTAATGACATTAGTCCTAGACAAGTGCCTCCTGACAGCAGCAGTGCATATTACATTCATTAACCAAAATGTGACCTCATCTGTTCACTCCAGTTTCTGGTATCAAATTAAAACTTCTCATTACTGTAAATGTATATCATTACTCTCTTGCTCAGGTAAGTTATTGCTCAGCTGTACTGTTTTCCCTTGCACATTCATTGTAGAGGTTGTGCAGAACATCTGTGTTAACTCCCAGTGCTCCCTCCAAAAGGGGCATAAAATGGCAGTAGCTCTGTACCCCTCCCAGGGGTGGGTAAGTTCTTGATATCTGTTTCTACACTATCAGAAAGGGCCAAAAACAGACACCACAGCTTTACCAGCTTAAAAGAGGTCATATATAACAAGCTTGCCTATTTCTGTAATAGAAGATATAAGGTATGTAAAAAGTGAAATTCTTTCAGGCTTTGGAGACATATTGATCAGGCAGTACCAGTGCCTGTTACCCATTAGGAGAGGTTTGCAGGAGCATTACAGGAGGTAAAAGTGGTTAAGTAACAACATGAAGGTTACTAGTAATAAGCATAAAACCTGAAGTGCATCCAAGTGAACCAGGAAAAACATTACACAGTTGACCAATGAATTGTTAAAGCGGAATTAGAAAGGGCAAAGTAAAGTTTGAAGAGCAACTAACCAGAATAAAGACTGGTTATAAATACAGATTCTGAACCATGAGGGGCAAAAAGCTTGCCAGAGACCCAAGAGTATGAAGAAAATGTGCAAAAAAGAGAATAGAAATAAGCACTTTTGCATTGGGGTTTACTGTAGAGAAAAGTGACATGTTCTAGTGTAGTTATGCAAGGGAGGATTCTGCAGAGATGTCTGTGTGTCATAAACTTGATCATAGATACTTTAGGCCCAGCTACAAGGAGAACATTGTTACTCAAGAGCCCAAATGGAACTTAATGATGACATAGCTGAATTAGTAATGGTAGTCCATAAATACCAGAATGAGAATCAAGAGACAAGGATTCTTCCATTCCTTGTAAAATTTCCAATTCCATTCATGCATGCTTCTTTTTCACTTATAAGTTAAATAACCTTTACTTGAAGCAAAGGTCTTGTGAGTTGGGTCTGTTCCTGACAAGATATAGCTATCTTGGGGCAAGAGGAGTTTGAATCTGTAAATAGCTGATGTCTAATATAGAGTTCAAGACCTACTGACTTAATCCCCCCAATATGTGAGATTGTTCTGTTAAGATTGTGTAAACAACAGCTATATCTAAGGTTTTAAGTTACCAAGATTTAAGTAGGATAAGGTTTTCAGATTTATGTTATTTAATAGTTTTTCCTGTCATTTCGTTCGATTATGATGAGCTTTATATAAATCTGCAAATGCAAAATGAAATAAATTGCAC